TGGGCTCTTGACCCTTGACTCTTGTATTAAGTTTTTCTCTTTAAGACTGTATGAGGTGTTATGATGCAGAGACAACAGTGCTCTGCAGTGAGCTGCTGTCAGTTGGTAATACATGCTGAGAAGAAAAACATGAGCTGGCCTGATTAGAATCAAAATAATTATCTTATTCTGTTTTTAAGTTTAGATTATGCATAATTGGCCCTTTCAAAACTACAGCAGGCAATAAAAGTGATGCTCTAATAGTTGGAGTGAATGTATTTTAAATCTATGCCATGCATATACACATTTTTACGCCAGTAGTATTTAGACACACACAGACATTAATAACCAGCATATGAATCTCAATAATGTTGACAATCAACAAAATGCTTCATGCTGCAATGCATGCTGGGTAACACCATAGTAAAAACTCCCATCATGCACTGCAGCATGAATAATTATTCTCACCACTGTTGAGGATCATATGATAAGTGTTAATTTCTAAAAGCCTGACATTACTTTTTTTTTCAGTATCAAAGCATTATTGAAGCAGTTGTTTAGTGAGATTTATTTTTTTTTAGTTCAGTATAGTGATGGAAATTTTGATTTGTTCATTTTCAGTTCGTTCACCAAAATTATTTGTTCAGATTCGTTCACTGATTCGTTCAGTGACCATTTCTTCATATTATATAAATACGCCAGCAGGTGGCGAAAAAGAGTGGCTTATCTGTTGTGTCTTAAGTCAGCGAACGTATTCACTTATTACAAAAATTTTTTTGGCTTTATTAAAATGTGTGCATAATCTACTCATTAAATAAAGTCGAAATAAGTTGTTCAGATGACCAAAGCACAAGGTTTTCTTGCATATTTAACATTTTAATTGTTTGGTCAGACATTTAAACATTCATAAATCGGGCATTAAACGTTGAGTTATGTTCTGTATGTTAAATATGAATATATAAACAAGGTTATTTGCACAGTACCTATAACTGCGCTTTGCATCCACTTTCTGCTGATTGCTGATCGAGACTGACATGCTTAATGGCCGACTGACCCAGTACACTCTCATTCATTTCGTTCACGAACGACATGTACCAGTTCTTTCAACTCACGAAAGACATGTACCAGTTCTTTCAACTCACGAACGGCATGTACCAGTTCTTTCAACTCACGAACGACATGTACCAGTTCTTTCAACTCACGAACGACATGTACCAGTTCTTTCAACTCACGAACGACATGTACCAGTTCTTTCAACTCACGAACGAGAAGATCTCTCTCGTTGAGACTCAAAAGAAACTCGCTCGTTCAGTGAAGGGCGTATTTGTTCACTACATTCAACAAGTCAAGTCACATCTCATACTCAAAGGCTATTGGCTCGAGGTTTAGTCATTCTTTGACAGGATGAATCAGTCCACAGAGCTACCCGGTTCACTGATCTGCGCATGTGCTGCCAATAGCGCCGCGCTGCTGTGGAGGGAGGAATTTCAGTGAACAAGAAATATGAGTCAATGGACTACGTGAACGAGAACGATTCGTTCACCAAAAAGATTTGTTCAAAAAGAACAATTCATTCACGAACGTAACATCACTAGTTCAGTAATAGTTGAAGGGCAGTCAATAAACTTCACTTATATAAGTTAATTCATCATGAGTTATATGCAGAAAGTGTAAGCTCATCTGCTACTTCGAGGTTTTGATTCATCAATACATGAACGTTTGCTCTGAAACAACATTGCAATTGCTTAAAAACAAATAATTTTGGAATTAATAAAAGTGTCAAGAGACCAACTAAACGAGTTTCTTTTGAGTCTGAACGAGATCGAGGTATCTTCTCGTTCATGAACGAAATGACCGAACTGGTACATATCTCGTTCGTGAACAAAATTAATGAGAGTGTACCTGGTCAGTCGGCCATTAAGCATGTCAGTCTCGAACAGCAATCAGCATATGCAAAGTGCAGTTATAGGTACTGTGGACATACGCGTGTTTATATATTCATGTTTAGCATACAGAACATAACTCAATGTTTAATCCCCACTTTATGAATGTGTAATTGTCTGACCAAACAATTAAAATGTTAATTATGCAAGAAAACCTTGTGTTTTGGTCATCTGAACAACTTACTTAGACTTTATTTATTTAATGAGCACACATTTTAAATTAATCAGTTCTTGTAACATGTGAATGCACTCGTTAACTTAAACTGCTGGCATCTTTATGTAATATGAAAAAATGGTCATTGAACAAATCTCTTAATAAAGTCCAAACTTCCGTTCACTAATTTAAAAAGAACCTAAAATGTGGCACACACTGACACCAAGAACCAGCGTAGGAATCTCAAGAACAGTGACAAACAGCATATTCAGATAAAGAGACCTTTTGTGAGCATCACAAAACAAGCTACTAAAAAAAAAAAATCACATAAAAACAGCAAAAATAAAAGACAATAGTAAGAACAAATACAAGACAATTCAGCTTATAATTAATTCATGCCGCAATGCATGATGGGAGCCATGGATGAGTTTTGATTGGTGGCACCCAGATTGCACTGCAACATGCTTTTTGATGGTCACCATTGTTGAGGCTTTCAATAGTAAAAATTATTAAAAATCTATTTCTGATTATGCTGAAAATTCCCGATCTTCTACTGCACAATCACAGCATGTCTGTAATCGATAAGGTAAATCCAATTTAGAAGTTTTGGTCAAACAGTGATGATGTCAAAACATAAACACCACCTGAACTAATTTTGTCTTGGGTTTTTTAGCTGCTATAATTCAGCTCTAGCAACCAAAATAAATTGCTTTAAAAATTGAGGGTCAAGAGCCCAACTAAAGTAATGGTGACCTCATTTTTTATTATTTTCCTTCAGTGATTCTTTGTTAACATCAGGTGTCATCAATAACCAGGTTTTGGGGGCTTGAAAACAATGCCTACATCATCTCCATACAATCAACAAAAATGTGGATTTGTGAAAAAGCTGACATCATGTTCATGCGTATAATGTTTTTGCAGGGTGTTTGTTGATCGCCAACTACTGGCCTGGCATGCATAACATAGTATTCATTAGCATAGTGTTTTTTTTTTATTATTATTATTTTTTTTTTGTCCAATGAAACCAATATTTTTGTTTGAATTTAACTTTTTTTCATGCTATTTTACTCATTTTGAATGGTTAATTGTTAGCATTTCATTTGATTAATTCTAATTAATTCTAATGTGTTGAATTCATTAATAATATTGTTTGTAATATTTTGAAACAAATATAGTGAATCATTTGCAAATTATCATAAAATAATTCATAATGATGCAGTACTTTGTATAGTTGTGAACTTTACCTTTTCAATAATTTAATCACACTTCAAATAGTGCTTTTCACAATTGTGCATGGCTGCAAAGCAGCTTTACATACATATGTGACCCTGGACCAAAAAAAAAAACATTCTTAAGTAGCACGGGCATATTTGCAATAGCCAAAAATACATTGTTTTGGTATATTCAATGAAGATATTTTGTAAATTTCCTAATGTGAATATATATAATCTTCATTTTGATTAGTAATAATATGCATTGCTAAGGACCTTATTTGGACAAAATTCTCCAAAAATTTGCACCCTCAGATTCCCAAATAGTTGTATCTCGCCAGATATTGTCCTATACCAACAAACCATATATTAATGGAAAGGTTATTTATTCAGATGATGTACACGCCTCAATTTAAAAAAAAAATACCAACACTCTCAAAAAGGATGTTAATAACACTTTTTTTTTTGTTATGGCCATTTTAACACATTGTGTAATTTTAAGTTAAAGAAAGAGAAAGAAAAAGAAACAACACAGTTTGTCCAACACAATATGTGTTAACTGTCACTCAGCAAGCCATTAACCAAATTCGTGCCTCTTTTTTCATTGGTGGATGGCATGGATGCACTCATGTCAGAAACATGGATTTCCCCACAAGAAATGTAATGTTCCCTGAGCATTCTCAGAATGTCCCGCTGGTGTCAATGATGTTTCCAGAACGTTTCCCGAGATGCTCATGATGTGGAGCTCTTTAAAGGGTTGGGGGACGTTATTTGGAGGACCTTCGGGGATTAACACTGCTCAGTTTATTTGGTCCCACTCTACAGTGTGTTAAAGTAACACTGAAGCAGAGCTGAAATAAATGAGAATGTTAACAAGCAGAATTACTGACGGAAAGAGAGAGAGACGAACAGAAACGCAACAACAACTGACTTCCAGTCACAGCCTTAGATGAAATCAACTCAAAATAAAACGCGTGAAATCTCTGAAGATCTCAGTAGAGGAGGATTAAACAACTCCAAAAAACAGTATCACCAGCTCCACTTATTACTAACCAGACTGACTTCATTTCTGTCATACAAAAGTTCTTAATGAGAATTAACAGAGGTTTAGATGTTGGTTTCATTTCGCAAAACGTCATCATCACCATCGCTGTGGTCAGTGTTTGCTTTAGTTGAGCTCTCAACTTTTTTTTGCTTTTTTTTCTGGCTGTCATAAATGTATGTTTCCCGAGAACATTATTATAACAAAAAAAACAGAAGATAATGTGATTTGGTGATGTTGACTACTTGATGCTGAAAACAATTATCATGAAGTGTCTTGATTTTCTAGTGGTTTTATTTTGCACTGTTGAACATAGAAGTGCTTTATTTCTGCAGGTTGAATTTTAACAGTGTTTTTTTGTTTGTTTTGAACAGTTTTTAGTCGTCACCATTTTCATTTTGCCATTTGCATTTATACTTTTGTACACACATTTTTCTTTTCAAGCACACGTTAAAACAAGCCAGGGTAGCTAAAATAAATACACATGGTTTAAAATCAAAATACAATCTTTGTTAAAAAGCAAACAATTAAAACCATTGTGTGACAGAGTGGTGAGGGTGCATCTACGGGCGGCCAGGGTCATTGGCGGCCGGGACATTTTCCGTGCGACCCCGTCTGAATATCATCGTCCGGTACCCCTGCAGCATTGATGTTACCTTTAGCTCGCATGCATGGAGGGGTACCGTAACGCGCTTCCACACCAGCAGGTTTCTGGTGGCCCAGATGGCATCCTTGATGACGTTAAGGGTGAGCCAGTGCGAGGTGAATTCCTGTGCTGTCAAGTCCTTCAAGCCCTGGCCCACCCCAACAAGAGGTCCTCGCTGCAGCTTGTAGCACGATGATGCAGCTGGGTCAGATCCAATATGTATTGGATGTTTGACGAGCATGCGCAGTATTTGATTTTAATTTGCATGCACAAAGTGGGGCTGTCATTGAAGCTAGTATTTAATGTAAATTAAACCATTTCATAGGTTTACACAAATTATATTATACTGTGATTTTAATCTAGTGTATGCAAACTTTAAGCAACGATGGCTTAGTTTTGAATGAAAGAGTTTGGTATGTAAGCCATGTTTATTTTTTATTAGTTTGATTCGTTTTTAGAAATAAAACTCTAATTACAATTTTGTTTGTTCTTTATGAAAAAAATGGGGTGTAACTGTTGTCTTAATTTTTTTCTCTGATAGTCAAGATAGTTAAGTCAGAAATTTGTTCATGAATCAAATATAATTATTCCTTTTCTGATACGATTGAGAGTGCATGTAAACACTCGATCGGATTGAACCCCGAAACAGAAAGAACTGCACATGTGCAATGACGCAGAAATAGCATAATGACGTGTGACGTGCGGAACGAGCGGTTCTTCCTTTTGAATAAAGTGTTGTATAAATGCGTGTCCTGTCATTATAAAATTCTCCTCTCACTCAGCAACTGTGGATTCTCATCCACAGGCAACCCTTTATGGGTGCAGGGAGGGGCATTTTTACTGCATGATAAATATGAGCAGCACAGCACAGCGGTTTATATGTATATTTACCCATAAATGGATAAATATTAATTCTGCTGTTAAAAACAAATAAAGAAACCATGTAGGAGAGTGGTTATTATGTGCACACAATGAGAAACTCTATATTTGTGCAGTGTGTTACCCTCAACACTGGTAATAATAGAATCAATTTATCCTTTATTTATTTATGCTTTGACAATAAATGACTCATACTCTCTGCATGTATAACTCATTTTTAACATTTGAATTCATAAATGCAATGGAAATGTCTTGAGACTAGAGGAAACAAACTGAAATCAAATTGTTTTGTCTCCCCCACCCCGGCTCGGCTCATACCAGACACCAGACTGTCAAAACTGACAATGGCTTCCTTTCACACAGGTTAGTATGTATGTATGTGTGTATGTATTGATTGATTGACATGATGAGTACGTAAAGGTTGGTTCACACTGACCCAAAAACATGTATGACAAAAACTGTGGAAAGATGATGAATGTAGTTCTCAGTTCAATGCACTCAATTTTCATTTGTTTTTATGGATCATTTTATGGATTTTATTTCTTCATATTTAATGGCAGGTTTTATAAGAGTGCCGATCTCTGTTATGCTGTGTAAGTATAAACTTTGAGTTTTGTTTGTTGCTTTTTTGTTAAAAATGAATGTACTGCTTTATGTTTTGATCAGTTTCACAAACATTTGTATGTTGATCCTGTTTGGAAGGAGAAACCTGAATATTTAACATGTAAATTATGCTACTTGAGTTGCATGTTCGACTTACAGTAACTGACATTTTTTTCTGGTCATCTCTTTCTCATCTTCCTCCATTACTAAACAGACAGCAGTCAGTTCATTCAGTGACAGCTGCTGGACTATATTTGCCCTATTTGTTCTGATTTGAACTGCTATTTCTTTCTTCACTGTTCTTGAATCTTCAGTCGATTGAACCCTGTCAAATTCATTCAGATTTTCTTCTTCTCCTTGTCAGTGGGTTATTTTTCAGCTCTGCATGTGTTTGATTACATTTGTTTGGCTGGACCCAAACCACAAATTTCCTGCAGTCACTAACACATTTTTGCAAGTTAGGGTCAATTTGGGCTAAATTCTCAGGTTTAATTTTCCTTGAAACTTAACATCTTAAAACAAAATGAATAACTCTTAAAGTTCCCATGCAGTCACTAATTTAATCTCTTAAAGCCATCTTTGATAATAAAAATGACTTAATTTTGTTCCACTGTGAAAAATTGCACAGTAAAATAAAGGTAATCTACTGGCAGCTGTGGTTGCCAGCATTGTACTGTTAATTTACAGCTTTCTACTGTTAATTTACAGCTCTTCATTTTTACAGTATGTTACTGTTATTATACAATGTGGCAACGCATTTTGTTTTGGAAACCGATTGCTTCAAACCATTTGAGTAAAAAAAAAAAAAAAAAAAAAAAAAGTGTTTATATGCTGTTAGTACTGGGAACTTATTTCATTTTTTAGTCCACTAAGAGCAGAGGTATACAATCCAGGAAAAAAAAAGGGTTTATATGCTGTTAGTACTGGGAACTTATTTCATTTTTTAGTCCACTAAGAGCAGAGGTATACAATCCAGGTTCAGAAAGTAAAAGTCCTCCACAGTATTTTGTTCTAATCACCTGGATTTGCTAATTAGCACAGTTTTTCAGCCAGGAGATCAGAGAAGGGACCAAATCATTCCTTTCAAGTTTCGAGTCAAATTCCAAGTCCTCAAAGAGTTAAAGTTAATGAGATAATTATGTGATTAATTAAGTGCTGATTGATCATTAGTGATGAACAGCTGCTGTTAACAATCAACAACATTGAAGAAAAGTGAAACAAGAACTACATCTGACTTCAGCCACAGCCTTAGATAAAATTTAGATTAAAAAAAAAAAAACATGAAATCTCTGACTTTATCTTATGTCTGCACATTTTCTTATTGAGATTTAACAGAGGTTTTGATGTTGCTGTTTTATTGGTTAAGAAAAAAAAAACGTGCCACCATAATTGTGGTCAAGGTTTGCTTTAGTTTGTGTCTTTACCCTTTTAGTAATTCAAAGTAATTTGCTTCTAAGCGATTGCAATATTGTTTCACAGCAAACATTTATGCACTACTGAATCAAAAGTTTGAAGTAGCAGATTAATGTATGCTTTCTGCTTATAACTCATTATGAAAATACATTATGAACTGGTTTCTCTCTTTGGTTTATTGACTGACGTTCAGCAATTACAAAACTGCAAAAAAAAAAATAATAATTTCCATGAACATTAATATTTTAGTGAAATTAACTTTTGTTTGGTAAATCTGACTGTTACGTTTTAAAGTATATTGCTGTTTTTTCCTTGAATTAATGTTAATCTACTAGTAGCTCCAGCATGGAGTTTTGCTGTTTACTGTTAAATTACTTTTCATGCGATTTTTTTTTTTCATCTTACACTGTAAAAAATTGCTGTAAAAAACAGCAATATTCTGACAGTGGCATACTGCTTTTTAATTAAAACAGTAAAATCATGTAGAAAACAATGTGTTTTGGGTAATATTTGTTGTTTTCGAGAAAGTAGCCTTCTGCAGTCCTGTAAAGTAACAGCGCTCAGATTCATCATTCAGCCAATGATGAACAGCTGCTGTTAACAAGCAGATTCACTTAAGAAAAGAGCAAGAAATGAAACCTGAATTGACATACAGCCACAACCTTAGATGAAATCAACTCAAATAAAACAGCAGAGGAGGATTAAACAACTCCACAAACAGCATTACCAGATTCACACATTGCAATCTGATTTTATTTCTGTCATCTACACAAATTTTTTGAGAATTAAGAGGTTTAGATGTTTTATTGAAAATGTTTCATTTGACCTCACCATTATGGCGATTAGTGTTTGCTTTAGTTGGGTTCTTGACCCTTCACTTTTTAATCTAATTTTTTTGGGGTTTTATAGCTGTGTTTCTAAAGCTGTGGTTTTGATTAATTATTCATGATTATGTAATCCTCATCATCTATTGGTCTGATTCACTGATCTCTTTCAGTGAGATTTTCTTTCTTTATTATTGTTAGTTTCAGGTTAGTTACTATAACTTCATGACTCTGCTCCTCGAGATGACAAACTATTAGGAAAAATTAAAAAAATAAAAACCATTGTGTGCACAGAACCTTTAATAGTACTGCATTATTTAGACACACAGACATCAAGAATCAGCACATGAATCTCAACAATGGTGACAATCAAAAGCTTCATGCTGCAATGCATGCTGGGTACCAGCACAGTACACAACTCAATTAATTAAATGATTGTGCATCAGTGATGAACACCTGTGGTTAACAATCAACATTGAAGAAAAGAGAAACACAAGAACTACATCTGACTTCAGCCGCAGCCTTGGATGAAATTAACAGAAAAAAAAATAAAATAAATAAAAAACACGATGCCACCATAATTGTGGTCAAGGTTTGCTTTAGTTGATCTCTTAACCCTTTTACTGTTGAATCTATTTGTTGCATGAACTGCTGCAAACTTCTACAAAGGATTGCGGTTCTAGCAACAAAGTTACTTGCTGGACTTCTAAAACAGGCAAAACACTCAGCAGACCGTTATCGTGGACCCCCTCAGCATACAGCCGGTGAGTCCCATGAATCTATTGAATCTCAACAGTTTATAGCAAGTGTAGAGCAATAAGCCGAAACTGATTGTCACACTAATCGATAACACAAACAGGGAGCAAAACCCAAAGGCAGTAGAGACATCAGATTGTCACAAGTATCTCATATTGCTGCTGTAACATCCTCTACCCCAGATATGGCTATGAGAAGGCTTGCAAACACTGGTATTCTACCACACCCTATACATATTGAGAACAGATTTGAAGCATTAATGAATGCGGGTGAGGAATCCCCAAATGTGATTAAACATGGATCGGATGAGCCAGCTGCTAACATCGCTACTAACAGGTGCTAAAGGTCAAGCACACATTCGGCATTCAGCTCAGAGCGCAGCCGAGCCCAGGACACTGATAGTGGGTGACTCCATTTTCAGAAACCTCAATAGCATAAATTCAACAACATGCTGCTTTCCTCAAGCAACAGTTTCTGATATGAACAAGGAACTTTGGAAAACTCTGATGAAGCACAAGACCGAATCATCATCCATGTGGGGAAGAATGACATTCGGAAAGAGCAGTCAGAACTCCTTAAGAAGGACTCAGTGAACTCTTTGAAACACTTTGAAGACTTAAAGTTCAGTCGTTCATCAGTGG